TTTTAAGTAGAGACTGGGCTTTACCATGTTGTCCAGGATGGTCTCAATCTCTTGACCTCATGATCTGAGGCCCGCCTCAACCTCCCAAAGTGCTGGGATTACAGGCGTGAGCCTCTGCACCCGGCCAACAGATCTTTTAATAACAAAAACAGCTGGCATCTACAGCTCTGGTGCCCCATGCCAGGCATGGTATTGGCTGCTGTCATGGTTCAATTATTTTCCTCCCGACCGTAAACTACATAGAGGATTCCGAAGCAGGAATTCACAGCCGGGCCGTCTGACTCCAAGGCCCAAATTCACTCCACCAGCACATGATACTGACTCACTCCTTCTTGGGATACAGGATAAAGGACAGGAAAGGAGTGTTTCCATTCAGAAAGCCCCACAGCGCCTCGGGGAAATCAGAGCAATGTGTCTGGAGGGAGTTCTGGAGCCCAGCCCAGCTCACCTGCCCAGCTCCTCCCCCATCTCATAGTGGTCCTCCACGTCCTCCTGCCGGAACGTGGACATGGCGGCCGGTTTGCCTTCCAGCAGCTTCCACTCCAGGGAAAGTGCAGTCACCGCAGCCTGGGGACAGGACCTCAGGAGTCCCCTAATGATGACCCTGGAGGAGACAGAGAAAGAGAGAAGGGAGGAAATGAGACACCACCCATATCTCCTAGATAAATGGACAGACCTGCCCACCAAACACAAGCCTCCCGCCTCTCCACTCTGTAGGTCCAAACTCCTCACAGAGGGGCAGCATTTAGTGGGGTGGGTCCATCATGTCACCTCTTTGAGAGCTCCAAAGCCCAAATGGACCACCTTCACCCAGCAGAACTCCCTCCAGACACATTACTCTGATTTCCCCAAGGCTGCCTGCTTTCTTTCTTTGCCTCTGCTTCCTAGGCTTCTGCCAACCTGCTCAGCCGAGGTCCCCTAGCATTCCTGCAAGTTCCCCAGGCTCTCAACCCCAAATCCCAGGGCTCCCTTACTCCCTGGTCGGTGTCTTATCGAAGTTTTCAAGTCTACTTCTTTTTTTGTTGTTGCTGCTTTTGAGAAGAAGTCTCGCTCTGTCGCCCAGGCTGGAGTGCAGTGGCACGACCTCGGCTCACTGCAACCTCCGCCTCCCGGGTTCAAGCGATTCTCCCACCGCGGCATCCCAAACTGCTGCGATTCCGGTCAAAGTTCCCAAAACAGGTTATAAGACGATGCCTTCCACGCTCCTGCAAGCCCCACCTTTGCCTCCCCACTTCGCCGACCTCCACCGTCCTCGAAAGATAAACGTCTTCCTCCCCGTCCCACGTATCAAACTCCCCCAACCGCAGTCTCCCGCACCCCCAAAACGGGCGTCCAAAGAGGCCCCATCTGAGTCTCCTCCACTGTCTTCCGCCCCCTCTCGCCCGCAATCTCCGCACAAGCCCCTAAGCGGACCCCCAGTGGCTCGGTCTGCAGAAGCCCTCACAAGGCCTTCCCTCCCTAAGGCTCCGCTCCAGCATCCCGGGGGCCGCCACGCCCCTCGGCAGACCCGGCCGAGCCCCTTCTCCGTTTCGGCCACCCAGACTGGTCCTCAAACCTACCGGCCACTCAGGTTGTCTCCCTCCCCCGTTCTCCGCGGGCCCCCGGAGCGCCGTCCCGGCCCCACCCAGCCTTCCAGCCTCCGCCGAAGCCCGTTCCTCACCCTCCTCAGCCCCAGGCCCGGCCCCGCCGCGCTGGCCACTGCTGCTTCCTCCTGTGGCCCCACCGCCCCTACCGCCGCGACGCGCCTGCGCCGGCGTCACCATACCCGCCAGTGCCCGCCCCTGGGAAGCGGACCCCGCCGCCTATTGGCCAGTCCGCCCGCCGCTCGTGCCGCACCTCGACGCCCCACCCCCAGCTGCCTTTTCGGCCCCCGCACCCGGATGCGGCTTCGCCATTGGCTTAGCAACCGAAGTCCCCTGATTTGATTGGCTGTAGTGGACGCTGGTCAAGCGGACGGAAAAAAAGGCCCACTTCCGGACTCCCTGCCCGCCTCTCCTCTGACCCTGGTGCTGAAGCTGCGAGAAGCGAGGCTGAAGCCCTCCGTCCCGCTTCCTGCCTTTCCGGAGCACCAGATGCGAGAATGGATGGCTCACCTGTGGCTGAGAGTTCATGGCAGCTCTTGGGGTGCACCCTGGGACTGGTTTAATCCCTATGTGGCAGTTTCATCCTCTGAAAACTGTTACCCCCCATTCTAAATACTTAAAATGCAAATAAGGTCATTCCATGGTTGTCAATCACAGGGTCATGTTCGTCTCAAAATTGAGGATAAAACAGCGAGCACTTGATTGAGACTTAGTATGTGCCAACTGACAACACTGGGAGCTAACATGTATTAATTTCCCCCATTCTACAGGTGAAAAAACTGAGACTCATAGACAGTAAATAACCCACCCACAGTCACCTAAGCTAGCAAATGGCAGAGCTGAGATTCACGGCCAGGTAGGCATAAACCCAAAGCCAATGTTCAACCACCACATATCAGACTGCCACCATCAGACACAAGAGCCTATGTATTTTTTTTATTTTGAGACGGAGTCTGGAGTGCAGTGGTGCGATCTTGGCTCACTGCAGCCGAGACCTCCTGGGCTCAGGCAATCCTCCACCTCCTCCTCCAGCGTAGCTGGCATTACAGGCGTGTGCCACCTCGCCTGCCTGATTTTTTAATTTTTGGTGTGGGAGGGGGTGTCTCACTATGTTGCCCAGGCTGGTCCTGAACTCCTGGCCTCAAGTGATCCACCCACCACCGCCTCCCAAAGTGCTGGGATTACAGGTGCAAGCCACCACATCCGACCCTGGATGACATCTTCACAGATCCTGTTGTTAACTCCAGATGCCTTCCTCATTGACCACCACTCAAGTAATGTGATCAACGAATCACTCTACTCCATCTGCAAAGCAAGCCCAGGGCATGCTCCTGAGCAACCCCTTGCCAAGTGAACCTTCACCCCCACTATTACCATGTCCACGTGTAACTGAGCTTAAAAAAACATAAATCCATGAAGTGTAACTCAGCAGTAATAAGAGTTATGGCCGGCGCAGTGGCTCACGCCTCTAATCCCAGCACTTTGGAAGGCCATGGCGGGCCAATCATGAGGTCAGGAAATCGAGACCATCCTGACCAACATGGTGAAAACCCCTCCTCTACTAAAATACAAAGAATTAGCCAGGCTAAAATCACACCACTGCACTCCAACTGGGCGAAGAGCAAGACTCCACCTCAGAGATGAATAAATAAGAATTCTTACTTCTCTTAAAAGTTCAACATTTTGGGAAGACAATAATCCCAGCACTTTAGGAGGCTGAGGTGGAAGGATCACCTGAGCCCTAGAGGTCAAGGCTACCCAACCCAGGTACTAAATGCATTTTTTATTTCTTAATTTACATTTCAACATACAATGGGTTGGCCAGGCATGGTGGCTCATGCCTGTAATCCCAACACTTTGGGAGGCCAAGGCAGGCAGATGACTTGAGGTCATGGGTTTGAGATCAGCCTGAACATGGAGAAGCCCCATTTCTTCTAAAAATACAAAAATTAGCCTAGCGTGGTGGCGGGCATCTGTAATCCCAGCTACTTGGGAGGCTGAGGCAGGACAATCGCTTGAACCAAGGAGGTAGAGGTTGCAGTGAGCCAAGATCGTGCCTGGTGACAGAGTGAAACACTGTCCCCCCCAAAAAAAGAAAAAAAAAATAGGCTGGACACAATACCTCATGCCTGTAATCCCAACAGTTTGGGAGGCCAAGGTGGGCAGATAGCCTGAGGTCAGGAGTTTGAGACCAGCCTGGCCAACATGGTGAAACACTGTCCTCTACTAAAAATACAAAAACTAGCTGGGCATGATGGTGGGTGTCTGTAATCTCAGCTACTCGGGAGGCTGAGGCAAGAGAATCACTTGAACCCAGGAGGTGGAGATCACAGTGAGTCGAGATCAAAAAATTGCACTCCAGCTTGGGAGACTAAAGCAAGACTCGTGACAAAACAACCAGGTGCAGCGGCTCACACCTGTAATCCCAGCACTTTCAGAGGAGAAGGTGGGCAGATCACAAGATCAAGAGATCGAGACCATCCTGACCAACATGGTGAAACCCCATCTCTAGTTAACATTACAAAAATTAGCTGGGCGTGGTGTCGCGCACCTGTACTCCCAGCTACTTGGGAGACTGAGGCAGAAGTTGCAGTGAGCCAAGATCCTGCCACTGCACTGCAGCCTGGCAACAAGCATTTGAGACTGTCTCAAAAAACACACACACACATATACAATGGGTTTGCCAGGATGTGACCCCACTGTCAGCTGAGATGCATCTATATTTGAATCCAGACGTTTCTCCGAGGCAGAAATAGCATGATGTTGCTAACAGGGGCCAGCATCAGCAGCCACAAGCTGGACCCCAGCCCTAAAGGCCAACCTTCCTATTTCCTAAGAACAGGGGACACAAGGGGGCTCACTGTCAACTGGACCCGGGTCCACTCTAGAAATACATCCATGACTCAAGTTACTAAGTCTCATGGCATTTGATGCCGGGTTATCTTGCAAAGAAACTCTTCCAGTGAAACCACCATTGCAAAATTGTAACTTAGACAGTGAAAGAGAGCTGACCTAACCAACTCCATCTTGCTTCTAAGCTCCAAGCTGTCCTTGTTTATTCATGGGTGTGGGCTGAACTAACTTTCAGAAGAACTTATAGTTTAAAACAAAGATGATGCCGGTGGCTCACACCTGTAATCCCAACACTTTGGGAGGCCAAGGCGGGCGGACCACCTGAGGTCAGGTGTTCGAGACCAGACTGGTCAATATGTTGAAACCCAATCTCTACTCAAAATACAAAAATTAGCCAGGTATGGTGGGCAGGCGCCTGTAATCCCAGCTACTCAGGAGGAGAAAATCACTTGAACCTGGGAGGCGGAGGTTGCCATTAGCTGAAATCGAGCCACTGCACTCCAGTCTGGGAGACAAGTCTTCATCTCAAACAAACAAAAAAAGCTAACAGCCCTTTCCCAAAAAGGGCTGACTGAGGACTAGACTGTAGGAATAACAAACCAGCCACAAATTAGAAATTATGGTTTAGGAGTCACACAGCTGGAGGCTACAAGATTCTGACCCTCAGACCAGGCGCAGTGGCTCACACCTGTAATCCCAGCACTTTGGAAGGCCGAGGTGGGCGGATCACCCGAGGTCAGTAGTTCAAGACCAGCCTGACCAACATGGAGAAACCCTGTCTCTGCTAAAAATGCAAAAAAAAATTTGACAGGTGTGGCATGGGGGCGACTGTAATTCCAGCTACTCAGAAGGCTGAGGCAGGACAACTGCTTGAATCTGGGAGGCAGAGGTTGCAGTGAGCCGAGATCACGCCATTGCACTCCAGCCTGGGCTACATGAGGAAAACTGTCTCCAAAAAAAAAAGACGGGCACGGTGGCTCACTCCTGTAATCCCAGCACTTTGGGAGGCCCAGGTGGGCGGATCGCAAGGTCAAGAGATCGAGACCATCCTGGCCAACATGGTGAAACCCCATCTCTACTAAAAATACAAAAATTAGCTGGGCATGGTGGTGTGCACCTGTAGTCCCAGCTACTCGGGAGGCTGAGGCAGGAGAATCGCTTGAACTTGGGAGGTGGAGGTTGCGGTGAGCCGAGATCGCACCACTGCAGTCCAGCCTGGCACCTGGTGACAGAGCAAGACACTGTCTCAAAAAAAAAGTTTGTGATCCTCTCTGAAGGGCTCCTAAAATCAGGGTTTAGAGATATTTTACAGACCCTGCACTTGATCACCTGGCCCCACCCAGATCCCTTAACTGGCTCATCTGATTTTATGGCCCCCCAAATGGAGGAACCCACTTAGCTGAAAAAGACAGCTCAGGCCAGGTGCGGTGCCTCATGCCCGTAATCCCAGCCCTTCGGGAGGCTGGGGCAGGCAGATCACCTGAGGTCAAAAGTTCAAGCAGCCTGGCCAACATGGCGAAACCCTGCCTCTACTAAAAATTCTATTAAAAATAAACATTAGCCAGGCATGGTGGCACAAGCCTGTAGTCTCTCAGCTACTTGGATGGCTGAGGCAGGAGAACCGCTTGAACCTGGGAGGCAGAGATTGCAGTGAGCCAAGATCGTTCCACTGCTCTCCAACCTGGCAACAAAGCAGGACTCCTCCTCAAAAACAAACAAAAAAATAGGGCCTAATGCAGTGCCTCAGCCCTGTAACCATGGTAGGTGGACCTCTTGACGTCATCAGTTCAAGACCAGTCTGGCCAACATGGTGAAACTGGCTCACCTAAAAATACAAAAATTAGCAGACAGCGTGACTGGCACCTGTAATCCCAGTTTCTCAGAAGGATGAAGCACAAGAGTCACTTGAAGCCTTGAACCTGGGAGGAGGTTGCAGTGAGTTGAGATCACGCCACTGCACCCCAGCCTGGGCGACAGAATGAGACACCCTCAAAAAAAGAGTAATCGAAGTTATCCCTTGCTACTGGGAAACAGCAGCTACGGCCCCATTTCAAGTGGGACAGCCACGCCAAACCTTAGGCACACCCGTATGCGGGCAAGGCCTTAGCTGAAGCTTAGCTTTGGCAGTGAAGGGTCAGAGTGGACCCTACGTCTTGCCTGGAACCCACAGCACTACTCCATAGTCCCTACCTGCCATCCTGAAGACAAAGAAAAAGGTGAAAAATGATGTTGACCTTATTCTTACTAGCACTGACGAGACTGGGCCTACTTACGTCTTAGGCACCACTTAGAAAATAAACGAGGCTGGGTGTGGTGGCTCACACATGAAATCCTAGCACTCAGAGGCTGAGGCAGGAGAATCGCTTGAGCTCAGGAGACGCAGACCAGCCTAGACAACAGTCAGAGCTCATCACTACAAAGAAGTAAAATTAGGCAGGCACAGTGGCTCACACGTGTAACTCACTGAACTTTGGGAGGCTGAGGTGGACACATCACTTGAGGTCAGTTCAACACCAGCATGGCGAGAGCAAAATGCCCTCTCAAAATTAGCTGGCAATGGTGGCACATGCCTATCCTCCCAGCTACTCAGCAGGCTGATGCAGGACTGCTCGAGTCCAGGAGGTGGAGTGCAGTGAGCTGGTGGCACTACTGCACCCCAGCCTGGAAGACAGCAAGACCTTCCCTCAAAAAAAATGTTAAAAAGGCAGGCCCTGGTGGCTCACGCCCGTGATCCCAGCACTTTGGGAGGCTTAGGCGCGTGAATCACAAGGTCTGGAGTAGAGACCAGCCTGGTCAACGAGGTGAAACCGTCTCTACTAAAAACGCCAAAATTGAGGCCGGGCGCGGGGGCTCAAGCCTGTAATCCCAGCACT